TATCAGGCCTGGGCGGGGGGCAGAACCAGTGATCGGGGGAAATGAGGGTCCCCTGCCTAGGCCGATCCTGCGATTGGAGATTGATGGGGGTCAACGCCTGAGGGCTCCCAGTATGTGAGAGGGGGCAGGCTGGGCTGAGGGACACTCCCCCCGCCCCCCCACCCAGTGCACGAATTTCGTGCACCGGGCCCCTAGTTTTGTTATAACAGCCCTAGCAAATTAATAGAGTCTTTTTAAAATATCACACTACACTTACAAATCAAGTCAGGAGAAATTGAAAGCTTCTTGATAATGAGTCTTCCAATCTGAAATTATGAGTTTCTTTCCATTTGTTCATCAGTGAGATTTGTCTGTATAGATGTTAGGTTTGGGAAACAAAGTTGTATCTGCTTAATACAAATACTCTGAAAGCTTTCTTCTTTTCTGTATAATTGGATTCGTTCTTTAAGGCTTTGCGAAAGCACCTAGGCCTGATGAGCTCTTAGACCAGCTATCAGCAGGTGATTTCTGCAGAACAGGAGAAAGGCCTCTCAGGCTTCACAGGTCAAGGTCTGCTCCTGTCCTGCTACAGTGACAAACTCTTTCCTAAGTGTCATACCTCCTCTACCGCTAAACCAAATGCAGTTTACAAGAACTTCTACCTCCAGCCTTTCCCTTCTGTAATTCCTTCACTGGCTGTGAAGAGGCATGGTCTCTGCAATCCTACTCATTTTCTAAAAGTATGTGTGTGCACATAAATTTTTTTTCGGGGACTGGGTGCAGGGTGATGCTTTCTAAGCTAGGAACTTTCTGCACCTTCTCTTTCTGCTTCCTCCACTATTCACGTCCGAGTCTATCTATCTTAGCCCAGTTTTGCTGCACTGCACTTCCTATTCAGTCTGGGCCCTGTCTTGCTGGGAGTGTGTATTTATTGCTGATTTCTGAGTTCAACCCTTTTCTTTTCTTGATGCAACATTGTAGGTTTTCATGAGAGTTCTCTTGCCCTGACTATAATATTCTTAGATATTTTTGGAGCACTTAAAATAAGGAATTCTGTGGTTTTCTCAACCTTTCAGATTCACTGAAAACATAGTTGGGGCTTCTACTTCATCCATCTTATTGCTCTCTGTGGTTTCCGAGAGGGGAAAAAAATGGAAAAACTCAAAAAAGCTGCTAAAAGTTGCTATCACATAGCTATTACAAGTCTTAAGTCCAACTTTCTTTTAAGTAGGGTTTTCTTACATGGTATTTTTAAAAGCTAACAATATATCTGAATTGCATTAAATGGCCTTAGAAATTATCATCCAAGGCTGATTTTGAATTATTTATTTAAGCTCATTTCCATGCAGAATACTTTGGGGCCAATTCTTCTTTCCACCTGGTATATACTCAGAAAAAGCAAGCTAACTTTAATATTAGCCTAAGCAAATAAAGTGAGGCAACTAAATCTGTTGCAAAGGGTTACAAAAACATAACGTAAGGCAAATTGAGAACAAACAGCAACTTTATGGAAATGCCTACTACTCACCTTGCTGTCCATCTGGCATAGTCACAATGATGGGCTGGCCTATTCCACTGGTTGGAATGGAGTGCAAATTTCCAAGCTGGATTCCATCTGTTACTATTGTGATGACTTGCTGACCCCCTGAACTAACTACTTGCTGAATTGCACCATCCACTGATTCTGCAGTAACTACTTCTTCCGTAGCCACTACTGGGGGAAAAAATATAAATGTGAAAATCAGTGAACATATATAAAGATAAAAACAGAAGTTTCTTTTTGCTTTAGTACCTTTGCCTTCCCTGCTTCTTCCTTACACAGAAAAGCTTGTACATCGTTTTAAACTTTAGTCTACAGCAGTGCTATACATATTTATGTAAACATTATGACTACAAGCCCCACAATTTACAATAAGTGAGTTCCAACTATTCATGCATGTGTGTGTTTAAATAAACAATTCATCTTCATTTAGTTATATGAGGTACAAAATTTGTAAGGTCTCCTAAAGTCACAGATATAACAAAGGGTATACCTGCTTAATAAAATTCCATAATCCAAAAGATGATTTTATATGTGGTTATACTCCATTTACATTTACATAGGAGTTGATAAACATTTCAAAATCCAATGAAACATGAAAATTTGTATTTTCCAAGTAGACAGACTAAACAGTATACCCTTTTTGAATTATGGGTACAGGGGTTGCCTTTATAATAAGTGGCATGCAGATCTGGTATCATATGAATATATTATATTATATTTAACTAATATGTACCAAATTAAGCATAACATATTATGTTATAGTAATATACTTGTTACAACAATATATTAATATATGACATATTAACATTTATATTAGTAAAATTCAAAACTATGCCCCTTAATATTTTAAGAGAGGTTCAGAGAGTATTCTAGCATCTGAAAATAGTATTCCTGGATTTGTCTGGGTAAAGAAATCACAAGTTAATACTGCCAAAATCTTCTCCTACAGGCAATGCTATAACCAACTACTGATCACAAAAGACAAACACAGGAGCATTCATTGTAGCTTTGCTTAAAATAGTTAAAAAACTTAAAACAAACTAGATAGCCATCTAAAGTAGAATGAATAAATAAACTATGGTAGATTCATACATTGGATACTACACAGCAATTTAAGTGACTAAATGCAAAACATGGATAAATCTTACAAAAAAAATATGCTCAGTGATGTAAATCAGACACAAAATATATATGATGTACTTCCCATATATGAAGTGAACAATGAGTATACATACAGGATTGATCACTTTGTAATACCAGTAATTCATTATATGGCATGCTATGATCTATGCACTTTTCTGTATATGTCATACTTCAATAAACCAGAATCAATAGGAATGAGCCATGAATTATAACACACTGAATCTTTTAAAATCCATATATCTATGATAATACCCAATGAAAAAGGAGAGAAAGGGAGTATGAGGAAAGTGTCATCTTGATAGAATAACACTTACTTAATAAAGTAAGAAATATTATCAATGTAACCAAAAAAAAATTATCCTTACACATCCTAAAGGATGCTAAAACCATTGGTGAAATGTTTTGAGGAAACAAGATATTTAAATGTTCCCAGGGTATCACACCAAAGACTAGCATTTGTTTGAAAGGGGGAACTACAAAGACCTAGCCGTAGCCACTCTCACCAGGCGGTCATTATCAGGACAGCCTGACATGATGTGCCTCCTGATGTGATGCAATGCGAGATTACAAAATATCACTGTGTTCTTCCCAGAAATGTTTGGCTTGAATCTAATTATTAAGAATTAAATGAATCCAGAATGTGGGTGATCCTGCAGACAACTGGCTTAGACTACAAACATTTCAATGTCATAAAAAACAACAAAGACAGTAGGATTGTTCTAGATTGGGGGAGACTAAAGAGAAACAATAACCAAATACAATGTGTGAACTTTAATTGGAACCTGAATGAAAAACAGAGTTTAAAGGACATCTTGGGGATAACTGAGGAAACTTGAACTATGGACCATATGTCAGTAATGTCACTAAATTAGTACTGATGCTTTTAGGAAATATAATGGAGATGTGAGTAGTAAAAGGCTGCCCTTATTCTTGAGAAATACATGCTGAAATATTAAAGAATGAAGTGTCATGAGGTCTGCAGCCTACTTTCAGATAATTTGGCAAAATAAAATAATTTGCGTCAAATTCTTAAACTTTGGTGGTGGGGATGAGCATGCAGATGTGGCAAGATGTTAATAGCTATGAATATAGGTGAAAGGTATAAAGTTCATCCTCCAATTTTTTTATGGGTTTGAAAACTGTCAACATAAAAAATGTTTAATATAACTATTTCTGAAAAAAGAAGTGACATAAGAACGATTTCTAAACTATATGGGGGTTTTTAATGAGTTATCTGAGGCAACTTTTTACCAAAAGTATAATTTAAAAAAAAAAAATCTTTCCTCAAGTGCTACTATTCAGATACACAGATGCTCAGAAACATGCTCAGTTCCCAGCAGAACATCATGGATATCAATGACCACAGGATTTACTGAAGAAGAGGCCCTACATATGTACTAGTACACTACTTTTTTTTTAAGGCAGGGTAGTACTGGGACCCTACTTTCCAAGCATACACACATGGCACCAGGCCTGGCTACAATTCTGTTAGTGCTTTATTTTATAATCGAGGGTTACAATACAAACTGCAGAAGATAATACTCAAAATGCAAAGAACCTTTGTGCTTTTGAGTTCTCTCATTTTTTGTTTGCCTTAAACTATAATTAGGCTTTATCATCAAGCACTTAAGAAAATTTCAGGAAGATAATTATAAAATGAAATGTAGGATATAAAATAGTAATATATTCAATAGAACAACTACTCAGGTTTTCAAACACATAGACTATTGCTTTGATTTTTTAAGAAAATATCCATATGAAAAAGAAATGTTCACTCAGGTTGAATGCTAACTACAAGTAGTGACTATTTCCAAGCATCATCATCTGTGAGAAATTTCTGAGATCACAAACAATCAAGGCACAACTCCAGAACTTTCATCTTTGCACTATCTACAATGACTGTCATTAAAATAATAAGAGTTCTTGCCTTTCATCTAAAAGCTTTCTTTTTTAAGATGTGCTATGGTAAGGAATTTAAGAAAAAATAAGGAAACCAATTACACAAGAAGACAATGGGCTCCCAAGAAACCCTACGAACTTAGCATAGAATACATGCTCAGGTGCCTTAAAAAATGGGCTGGCCAAAGATAAAGAAATCAGCCGTCACAAGTTAATCCCTTTAGTTTTATGCACAGGAAAGTACACTATGAGAACACCTCAAATATATATGTTTCAGGAATATACTTGTTTTTTCCAAAATTAGTGAAATGAGAGCATAAGGGGGATAAAACAATGTATACTTTAACAGAACCTCTGCAAATCTTGACAGTCAAAAGAAATGTTTAATTGTGCCTAAACACATAGAACTTATACATTATATTCAGACTAGAGGCCTGATGCACGAAATTTGTGCAGGTGGGAGGGGTTGTCCCTCAGCCCAGCCTGTGCCCTGTCGCAGTCCTGGAGCTCTCGGGGGATGTCTGACTGACGGCTGAGGCCCACTGCCTTGGGGGAGCGGGCCTCAGCTGTCAGTCAGACATCCTACATCCTTAGCGCTTCCAAATATCCTAGCACTGTCACAGAGGTGGGAGAGGCTCCCGTCACCAACACTGTGCTCACCAGCCGTGAGCCAAGCTCAGGGCTTCTGGCTGAGTGGTGCTCCCCCTGTGGTTATGCACTAACCACCAGGGGGCAGCTCCTGCATTGAGCATCTGCCCCCTGATGGTCAGTGACCAGATGTTCTGCCATTTTGTTGATTTGCTTATTAGCATTTTATTATATAGGATGCTAAACCTCTTAACTAGCTAGGTACCTACCATAACAAATCAAATAAAGCAAAATAATCAAAATACTAAAGAGAAAAAAGGAGCCAAAACTAGATTGCAAATTAGATTACTAATATGATATTGGAAGATGAAATATTAGTAAAAATAAAAGTATAATTCATAAAATTATCAAGTTGAGCAATGGAAGCTTCCAGCAAATATAGTAGATAGCTACTTAACTTAGAGGTAACTAAAAGATAAGCATTCCCTTAGTTTAAGTAAGTAACTACATTTAGCACCATGTTTTTATTTTTTTTCTTTATTGATTAAGGTATTACATATGTGTCCTGGTCCCCCCATTGTCCCCCCACCCCCTAGTACCATCTTTTTAATAAACAGAGGTAATATTAATTTTCTTTAAACCACAATGTTATTAATGCTCACTGATCAGCATCTGTTAAGATATACAGTTTCATGAGAATTCCCGTAATCTAAAAAATGTTTCTAATCTTTGTGAACAGAAATCAATGTGTTAGATAACAGCATACATAAAGAAGGGAAAATTTAAAGATAAGTAAATCCTCGTGGGGCTATAGATTGCTGACAGTGAAAAATTATTTTATTTTTAAAGTGCTCAAGATGACATTTTTCTCATCTCAACATGAGAAATCTGGTCTTGATCATCAGTGCCACCTTTCTGTTTTAATTATATCCTAATTACCTAAAGTCTGTTCCTTAACTCCTGAAAACATTAAGTAGCAAGCATCTAGATATATTTAACTATTAAAGCTATTAAGAAAGCCAGTCCTCTCAACCACATCTTTTCCTTGTTAGAGATTCATCTATCCTCCTAATAAATAATTAAATAAATGTTAAATTACATATAGAAATGAAAAATTTGGGGTCAAATTCTTAAACTTTGGTGTGCCTTCAGAATCACCTTTGGGAGCATGTTAAAAATACAGATGTCAAGGCCCTCACCCCAAAGCTATTCAATCAGAATCTACTGAAGTGGAACTGGGGCAAATGTATTAAGACAATTCTGATTAACACAAAATTTAAGAACCCTGCTCTTGTTGCCATTATCATATTAGTTAAAATTAATTGAAAGGAATTCAAATTAGTGAAAAACTTGAATTAGAGAATATTTAAAGAAATACAGCCTTCTAATCATTGGGTACATAAATTAAAAATTAATTCCCAACTATTTCCAAGCAGAAGTTCCACTGGTTTGTTTTAATAATGTAAAAAAAAAAATGACAATTATATTAATGTTGAGTTGCCTGATATTTCTCCTGAATTACTCCACTCCCAAATTCTGAAGGATGGTTTAAACAAGGTTTTTAAAAATTGTGTGTGTGTAGCCCTGGTCGGTGTAGCTCAGCTGGTTGGAGCACCATCCTGGGTGCCGAAAGGTTGTGGTTTGATTCCCGGTCAGGGCACATAACTAGGTTGCGGGTTCAGTCCCTGGTCAGTTCTTGCAAGAGGCAACCAATCGATGTTTTCACTCTCACACTTATGTTTTTCTCTTACTCTCTCTCTAAAAAAATCAATTAAAAAAAAAAATAGAGTCCAGCTGGTGGGACTCAGTGGTTGAGTGTCGAGCCATGAACCAAGAGGTCCCTGGTTCCATTCCCAATCAGGGCACATGCCTGGGTTTTGGCCTTGACCCCCAGTTGGGGGCATGTAGAAGGAAGCCAATCAATGTCTCACTCCCATCGATGTTTCTATCTTTCTTCCTTCTCCCTTCCTCAATCTCTAAAAATCAATGAAAACATCATTTTTTAATGTGTGGATTTTTAAAAAAACTTTTAAAAATGTGTATGTATGCTTTTAAATGCTATAAATTTTTTCACTGACTTCCAAAATGAGTAAGTTAATTTCATATATCAAAAGACAATTATATCCTTCCTTAAAAATAAGTAACAGCATTCTGATTTGGGCATCACCTTCGCATGACTTTGCTACATGTGATTCAGTCCCTTATATCAACTCAGGATATACGAATAAAATATTTCTGAAACGTCAAAGCCGAAAATCAAACCTTGGTCAAAGTTCAATGATAGTATCTTAATTCAGATGACTATTGTAATAACAAAATGAGAAAATGCATGCAAAGCACTTGGCATAGCAACAAGCATATAGCAAGAACCAAATAGATATTAATCATTTTTCCATAATTCATTATGCCAACTCAAATTTATGGCTAATATAAATTGTTTCATCATCCTTCCTTGGCATGGCCTGGACCCAAATAGAACTAATGATTACTTAATAAAACTATGCACATTTGCAAAGGCCTATGGGCTCAGGAACTGAAATATGTAATTCACAACAAAACCAGTCATTTATTAAAAGTGAACATTAGCAACAAACTCTTCACAGTATATTGAGATTTATCAAATTATTTTCTATACCTCTCTTAGATAAAGAATCATGAAAATTATCCATGGAGACTTACAAATTTAATCAAATAAGTTAAATACTTTCAAAAATAAAGGTTTATGAGAAAAGAATAAAACTGAAAATTATTACATTAAAAAAAACCACTAGATATTCTAATCATCAAGCATTAACAATCTGCAGTTGTATTTGCTTATATCATCAAGGAAAGACAGTGATATAATTTGTTTTCACAATGAAAGCATTCTATCCGTTAACCCATTGGACTAACATTAAGATTTGTCTGTGAAAGACAGCCCTAATGTAATCATGAAGGTGCTATTTAAAGCCTAGTTCCCAGGTGGAGTGTATCCTAGACCTAGACCAGTGATGGCGAACATATGACACGCGTGTCAGAGGTGACACGTGAACTCATTTTTTTGGTTGATTTTTCTTTGTTAAATGGCATTTAAATATATAAAATAAATATCAAAAATATAAGTCTTTGTTTTACTATGGTTGTAAATATCAAAAAAATTCTATATGTGACACAGCACCAGAGTTAAGTTAGGGTTTTTCAAAATGCTGACACGCCGAGCTCAAAAAGTTCGCCATCACTGTCCTAGACTATCACAAGTACCTCCCCTGTATATATAGGACCATGTCAGCCAGCCAGCCAGCCTCCATTTCAAACGCAGTCCCTCTGCTGCTACATTCTAGCTATTTGGTATCAAGAAGATGTGTTTATTGTACTACTTAGCTGGTAAAAGAAAAGAATATGAGCAGTACCAATTAATGTACTAGTGGTTCTTATATTATGGTCTTCAGTCATTTAAAAAGGACAAAAGAGGAGTAGAACATTTATTTCAACAGACTGCTTCAACAAACACATCTCAGAAGTAAAAGTAGAACAGTGGTATTTTTGTTAGATGTAAGACAAAATGATAATCGCATAAATATGACAAACCAATCTATAAACACTCTAAAAGAGACCAGTCCTCTGATCACCAGAAGAAACTGCATAGAGGAGACAGTATATTACAGTGGTCAAAGACAAACAACTTGGGAATCAGATCTTCAGCACAAACCTCTTTTCATCACTTTATTGCCATGATACTTTGGGCAAAATTATGTAACCTTCACAAACCTCAGCTTCATCATATGTAAAATGGAAGTACTACTTTATTTCCTAGATCTTAGGATGTCCTTGGAAAATATATATATATAAACATTTCTAAAATGAGGATGAATCTGACAAGTGATGTTAAAAGAAACTGGAGAGGCAAGAAGCAGAGAAATAATTTGCCTGAATACATACAAATGTATTTCATTATGCACCTTAGCTGAGTAGTTTATTTACACTGGTGGCAATGTACTCACCTGAACTTAACTCAAGTTCTTAAAATATCTTCAAAAAGATTCTGCTATGATACTGCATTGAAATGAAAAATTATTGTGCTCACAGAAGTTTGTAAGTCACATGTAATAGAAGTCCAGTGAAATCACTAATTCTCTCAGTCTAGACCACACATAACATTTTCAAAGGTAGAAGTTAGAGAAGTTGGTATGACCAATTCATGGAGCCAAAGATCTAAATGTCAAAACTTCCCACTGACTTTTAAGAATTATTTAGACCTAAGAGGGTGTGTAGGGGCTAGGAAGAGAAGGATAAAGGGGAGAAAATTGGGAGATATCTGTAATACTATCAATAAAAATATTTTTTAAAATAATAATAAAAAGAAAAGTTATTTAATTTTCAGAAATATACTTTAAATAAAAACAAAAATATGCAAGTTTAACCAAAGAGAAACCACCAATGAAATTAATTTTCTTTTATATGCTTATGTAATTACCAAGGTGGCAGAGATCTGGACATAGGTTATAAAAAGAGCATATCAATATGATGATGCACATAATTGCTAACAGCCAAATGTGATTCAGAAATATCTAAAGACTCTCAAATATAAAAGGCCTAGACTCAAGCATTAAATGGATAAATGTTTATTATCACTAGTTTGCAGAAGAGTGTGAAAGACAGAAATGAAAGAGATAAGTACGTTTTCTTCCCCCTGAAAAAAACACATCTTTCAAACAATAACACTTTAAAGAATCAAATCCAGTAATATCTACCTTCAAGCTTTTTAGCGAAGATTAAATGAGATGATAAATAAATAGTTACCCTAGCTGGTTTGGCTCAGTGGACTGAAGGGTCCTGGGTTCGATCCCGGTCAAGGGCACATGCCCAGGTTGCAGGCTCAATCCCCAGCACTATCATTAAAATTATTTATAATTTTATAAATATTAGTCCAAATGTTGAAACTACAGTAAGAAGAATTTTGTGGAGTTCTTTTAATTCCCTAGTTAAAAAAAAAATATTTTGCTTACATAATAATTATAGAAAGAACTATTTTAGTTAAGTATAAAGGTAAACTTTACTGAAACCAGCTATTAATGCTGATTATCATCCCTTAGTGGTGTCAGAATGCTATTTCCTAATTCTGTCAGTCATTTTATTTATTTATTTTTAAATATATTTTTATTGATTTCAGAGAGGAAGGGAGAGGGAGGGGGAGAAAGAGATAGAAACGAATCATTGATTGGCTGCCTGCTGCACGCCCCCAACTGAAGATCAAGCCCATAACCTGGGCATGTGCCCTTGACCGGAACCAAACCCAGGATCCTTCTTCAGTCCACAGGTCGACGCTCTATTTACTGAGCTAAACCAGCCAGGACTATTTATTTGTTTTAATATATTTTTATTGATTTTAAAGAGGAAGGGAGAGGGAGAGAGAGAGATAGAAACATCAGTGATGACAGAGAATCATTGCTCAGCTGCCTCCTGCACACCCCCTACTAGGGATCAGCCCACAGCTTGGTCATATGTCCTTGGTGGGAATCAAACCCAGGACCCTTCAGTCCACAGGTTGATGCTCTATTCACTGAGCCAAACCAGCTAGGGCGGTCAGTCATTTTAATAGAACTAACAAAAATATATATGTATACATATATACTTTATTTATACAAAGTCACAGACTAGTAAAACAAAGGCCAAATTGGGTAGACAGAAATGTTTTCTGTGAACCACACGTTTTTAAAATTTAATTAATTGGCAACATTTAACATTCTTTTAAAATCCAGATTTTCAGCTCCCCATGAAAGAGTAGGATCTGGCAACACTGAGCCTATAACTAGAAATAGCTGTAGCTAAGAAGCTGAGCTCCCTGCCCTGCCCCACTCTCTTCAGAAGGCCATAATCTCAACCCTGCCTAATTTAGCCTTTTATATGACACTAGGAGCCCAGCGCACGATATCTCGCGGTGCTGCCCACCCACCTGCAGCCCTGGCTTAACACCCGAACTTGTCCATGCAGAGCTCCAGGGCGCCTGGCCCAGTCCCCAAACCCTCTGGCCTTCTCTGGCCGTTTCAAGCCCCAACCTCAGTCCCTCCAGTCACCTCGGGCTGGTCCCACCTTCTCTGGACGCCTCCCCACTTCCGCCCTGTCTCTGGAGCAACATGGTGGCTCCGCCCTGTCATGGCGCCAGAGGAGAGCATGGAAGCCTCCCGCCTGCTGTGCTGTGCTCCTTCCCCTGGCAGGTGAGCCACGGGGCACTCTGAGTGAGAGCAGTGGGTGGTGAAGGACTGATGAGGGGGTGCTATGGGCTCTCACCCCTGCCCTCCCAGGCACAGGATGGTCCCACCTCCTCCAGGTGCCTCCCCGCTTCCGCCTGTCTCCAGAGCAATGCCCTAGCTAATATGCTAAGGACCTGGTCGTTCATTACCCATTACGGTGTCCCACTCATTAGCATATTAGCTCTTTATTAATATAGATTCCTGGCCTTTGTGACTATTTGAATCTCCAACTTTTAATGTACATATGTGACTTGTTTTGCTAACCTGGAGTTTCTGAAGAATTGGACAAGGGAGCAGAAGCTTCAGCTAAGGCAGCTAATGTAGCTAATACTGATGTAGAGGAGTTTCCAAACTGAACAGCAGACACACCTGTTTCATCTGTGAAAAAAAGAGAAAATAGATTTGAATTTTTAAGGAGCTTTAATCTGATATTCTGTTTTACTTTATTCGACTCTTAAATGAAACCTGGATGTTACTTTTGTGAAAAACAAGCTTGGATAGCATTAGTTTTTGAAAGATAATACTGCAGTATGTTTTGCAATATCACCTTTCTTTAAATTATTTTCTCATAAAAATGTGGGTGTTTTTTTAATTATACCAAAGAAAACCAAGGTTTTTCTTACCCTCATTCTCCAACTGTCCTTTCTTAAAAGGATGGATACCTACTAAGGCTTAAAATCCCAATAGCTATCCTATATGCATCTCAATACCTTTTGCCTTGGATGAATTTTCTGAAGATACCAGACCTGTTAGGTTCACCACCCCTCCAGGTCCAATGATAAACTGTGGTGTTGCAGCATGTATCGTCACAGTGTCCGGACTCTCTGGGTTTGTGTTGATTTGATTCTGCATAGCAATCTGGGGGACAAATCACCACAATATTTTCAGAATTATAATCAGAACATATAGCACAGGCTCTCAATGTACTACAAACACAAATATAAAGGAACATTCTGTAATTTAAGAAGAATCATATAACATAAATGGGTATCTTTTTTATGGTCTACTAAGAATATAGTGGCAAACCAAAAGTATTCATTTATATCCTAAGTTCCCATTAGCTAAAGCAGCAAAATCCAATGACAGGAGAAATGGATATCTGAAAGGCTTTTATAGAACACAGCTGAAAGATATGCTGCTGCATTGTGACTTCAGAAATTAAATTATTTAAATCAAATTATTTCCTCCACTATATTCAGCAATCTATAACACTACATATATAAAGCATGTCCTTTCCAACTGTTCTACATCTTCAACCTAATACCCAAACTGCACTCCTAGGAGTACAAAAGTTGGAAGAGGCCTGGCAAAGTCCATTTGTCTGAACATATCCTTTAACCCCTTCCCCAACGATTTTTTTGTTAAAAACGTTTCTTTTTCAGACTAATTTTTTTATTTTGGTTCTATATAGTATTTTTGATGCTGGTTATGAAAACAGTTTGTAACTCGTCTTCCTATAAACCATATTTTTTTACCATATTTTCTTAGTATACTCGTCGACGACTGAAAAAGAACATTTTATGAAAACGAGTATACACGTTTCTGCCGGGGAAGGGGTTAAGTAACTAACTGAAGTTCAATAGAGTCAGATGGTCTTAGAGAAGACTTTTATTGGGAAGGATAACAAGAAGGCATGCAAGAAGAGGCCGTAAGTAAAGAAGATAATTTACATCAATGTTGTTTAGCTGAAGAATAGAAATGTTGGTTATTAGAAAAACTTGACCAAAAGCCATAAATAACCATGCTCACAAACAGATTTTTCTTGAGGATGGTGAGAAATAAAAGAAACCACTCAGAATAATAAAGACTGTATCACTCACTCAGGGGACATTATTATGGCTGCAAACAAATTTATTTTTAGTGAAATATAACAGACTTTGAAATACCATATGGTCGCCAAAACCATGTGGTATGCAACAAAAAGAATAGAATAAAATGACTAGAAGGAGAATTCAGGAATTTAACAAAGAAAGTAACACCTTATCTAATCTTCTAATGTTACATGCAAAAACTACAGTCTTACAATCAGGAAAATGAAGAGTAATGAACAAAAAGCAAAAGAGGAAAAGGCCTGTCCAAAATAACGAAGTCCAAAATGAAATGCTACAAACTGAATAGTTCAAATCATCCATAAAACAGAGACCTTTTGTTTATTTTCTTAAATTAAAAGAAAAAGTTACCTGTAATATCTCTGCTAAATCTTCATTCCCATTGTCTACTGAAATATCAAATGCAGTTTTACAAAATTTACTCTGCGTGTGTACATCAGCACCATATTTGATTAAAAGCTCCACCACATCTTGATGGTTGTGTTCTGTGGCCCAATGTAGAGCTGTCATCTTTAACATGTCCTTTGCATTGACATCAGCACCATGCTACAAAAATATTTCAAAACAAGAGATTTCTAAAATATGCAATATTAAAAATTGCTGAAATGAAAATTCTAGACATTATACTTTAGAAGAATTTGCTACTAACATGATCTACCATTTTTTGTGTGTTGAATAATCTATATGCTCCAGGATCACCACACATCTGTCACTTAATCGATTTTCTATCATGATGACTTTCCTAATTGCTTTCCTTCTAATTTCTTAGGAGAGCAGCACTGATTTTTTCAGTCACCCAGCTGTGAGCATGAAGGGCTAGAACAGAATAAGAAGTGAAGGAAAACTATGAGCATTCCTCCCAAACCCTATTTTTAACTCTAGTTCTTTGTTTATACAAAAATATCCTTTGCTTTCAAAGCCAATGCAATATAAAGAATTTAAAGGGAACCACCTAGAGGTACTCTGTTCATTATGGTAGCCACAAGACACAAGTGGCTAAGCACTTGAAATACAGCTAGTCCGAATAGAGAAGTTCTATATGTGTAAATACACACTGGATTCAAAGACTTAATAGCAAAATAAGGATGTAAAATAAGCAATATAATAATGTTTATATTGATTTCATGTAGAAATAATATTTTGTATATATTAACTAAAATAAAATATATTTAAATTGCTTTTTACTTTTATAAAATAGAAAATCTAGAATTACATACGATCTGCATTTGTAGCTTACATTGTATTTCTTTCGGACAGGCAGATCTAGAGCAGAGATTTTTAACCTTATTCATTTCACAGCACACATAAAATACTAAAGTTACACAACACACCAAAAAATGTATCTTTTGCTGATCTGACATAAAATAGGTATAATTTTGATTGATTTACAAAAAAAATTAATAAATAATAGTAATTACCTACCCTTTTTGCTCCAAAGTGACTTTTTTAAAAATTAGGTGCCTATCTCTCTATATATAAAAGCCTAAGCAACCAAAGGACGCCAGACGCCGGGCTCACGGCTGGCAAGCGCAGCTGTGGCAGCCTCCACGGCAGCCTCACAGCAGTGCTACGGAGCAGCAGCGGCAGCAGGCACAGCAGGGCTGGATTGAGTGGGGGCAGCGTGGCGCCTGGCCTGGGCTCAGGCTCCCCCCTGGCCGCCTGCTGCTTTGCACACTATTACATCCCCCAGGGGGTCCCAGATTGTGAGAGGGTGCAGGCGAGGCTGAGGGACCCCACTGGTGCACAAATACATGCACTGGGCCTCTAGTACTTACATATAAGGATTTCAGATACCAAGATTTAACCAATCAGGAGCAACCTTATTTTGAGACATGACCAATAACATTGGTCATTTTTTTATTTGAAATCTAAGGGAAAGGAAGTCAGAACTCCTGACTAAATAGATATTGCATGTTTGGTTTTTTTTGACATTTTTTTTTTCAAATTTTATTTTTTATTACAAAGGGTATTATATATGTGTCTATTTTTTTCCCCGCCCTAGACAGTCCCCTAGCCTCCCCTATTCCCCAGTGTCTTATGTCCATTGGTTAGGCTTATATGCATACATACAAGTCCTTAGGTTGATCTCTTACCCCCCTACCTCCCGCCCCCGAACCCTCCCCGGCCTTCCCCATGCAGTTTGACACTCTGTTTGCGGCAGCTCTCCCTCTGTATCTATTATTGTTCGATATTGCATGTTTTAAAAATTCTTGTAGCACATCAGTTGAAAATTGCTGGTCTGGAGGCCAGAATAAAAAGGATTAAGAATACCCAAATCTATCATTCTATTTCAGAATTTTCTTTTTGGCATTTAAATGATTAAAGAAAAATCCCCATTTGCATTATCTGTTTATTTGTTAATTATCCAAGCCTAATATTCCTTTTCCATGAGCATTTTAACTGTGTTAAGACAAAACTATAGCCTCTCACCATGGCAGAGATCAAGGTGTTAGAAATCAATTGTAGGATTTAACTAAGAACATACCTAGAAAAAGTGTTTTATCCTCTCACAAAGGAAAACTTTAAGATAATTTACATTTGATCTTACACACACAAAATGAGATAACATGGGAGGAAGGATAGATATTCAATAAAACTAGTTTTCTTCTTCCTCTTGTAAAACCGTAAGTCCTTTAAGGGTTTACTTTTTAAAGTAAAGTACAAAGAGAAAGAACACATACCTGAAGCAAAACCTCTACTATGCTGGCATGGCCCTCAGAAGCTGCCATATGTAAGGGCGTTCGGTCCACTTTGGTTCTGGCATCCCTACTTACACCAGCTCGAAGTAGTACTTCTGTGGTGGAATAATGCCCGTACTGTGCTGCCAGGTGTAGTGGAGAAGTTCCCAGCTATACCACAAGAAAAAAAAATCCACATTTATAGTCATTTTAGTACACTTCTTTACTACCTTCTATTTTATATTTTGTTTACATAGCAAAAGTATATTATCTGTTTACATAATTCAAAAGAAAGAATTTATGCTCATGACATTTTTTCATAGAGGCCTTCAGGAATTTCCTCAGTGAAAAGAAAACGTCAATATTTCAGATAAAATAACCTAGACAAAAATTAATTTCATCAGGAATTAGAGATACTTAGGGTTTGAGAAATTTTTCAGAATATTGGAATCTTTTCCTCATATCAACCATACAAAACTTCCTTTCATCTATGAAATTCCTGTCAAATAAATGTAATAGTTTGTTTTTATATTAAACTGCTTTATATAGGACTTAAAAAAATAAATTAATTAAAGCACCTCAGTGATATTTTTAAAGGAGCTCATATAGTCATTTTTTAAGAAAAAAAATATGGCCCTAGCTGGTTTGGCTCAGCGGATAGAGCATCGGCCTTCGGACTCAAGGGTCCCAGGTTCGATTCCAATTAAGGGCATGTACCTGGGTTGTGGGCACATCCCCAGTGGGGGGTGTGCAGGAGGCAGCTGAATCGATGTTTCTCTCTCATAGATGTTTCTAACTTGCTATCCCTTTCCCTCTCCCTTCCTCTCTAAAAAAAAATATGATCTGAGATGTGCTGTCAAATGTCAGTCAGGACAGAACCAGAACAGAACCATTATATTAATTTCATGTGGTCTAGGCAAGCCAACACATTAACACCACATTCACAATATACACGGCAGTGCTAAAATGTGAGTGAAAGCTTGTTTGGAGATTCTAGCAGGGGAGCGCAACTACTCGTATACCCTTAACCCAATACCAGTTCTCTCCTCTGGAGGGAAGGTCGTCCTCTTCGACCTAGACCTAGCATGCAGCTTCAGGAGGGAGGCACATGGATCGGTGAGGGAGGAGGGGGATACCTGCCTTGCCAGCTAGATCAGCTGAATCAACCCCTGGCCATCAATAGGGTGACAGATGTCGCTGCCAGATCACCATCACATCTGTTTATTTTGTTTCTGTTTTTAAATCACTTATATATCTCTAAATAATATACTTTGGTTTTGCCTATTTTAAACTTTGTTTAAATAGAATCATGTAAGCTCAGTGACTTACCTTCTTTTGCTTACCAGTATGTTTATAAGATTCACCCATGCTGGTGAATTTAAGTGTAGTTCACTAATTTTCTCTGCTCTGTAATAGTCTACTGAATGGATAAGCCACAATTAATCTAACTAATCTACTGATGAACATTTGGGTTTCCAGTTTTGTTACTAAGAAGTATGCTGCTGCTAAAAATAGCCTTATATATGTCTCAAGTTCATAAACAAGAGTTTCTCTTGGGAATGTTTTCAGAAGTTCAACATCACAAGTATGCACATGTTTGAATTTACTAGGTACTGCCAAACTGCTCCACACATCTCCTCACCACTGCTTGGTACTGCTAGACTTTTTTTCTGGCTAAGCTGGTTGATATACAATGATATTTCATGATTTTACTTTGCATTTACCCAATTAGTAATGTAGCTGAGCATCTCTTCATGTTTAACGGTCATTCAAACTTTCTCTTTAGTATAGTAGCATAGCAAATCATCTGCCCATACTTCTTTGTCTTGTCTTTTTACTACTGCCCTGGTAATCCCATATTTTATGGACACCAATCCTTCTTAAGATCTGATGTACTGTGGTATCACTATGATGTGTCTACATGTGGATTTTTTTATTGATCCTGCTGGAGATTTGATGAGCCACTTCAATCTGTGAGCTGCCATCTTTTATCAGTCCTGGAAAAAATCTCAGATATCATGTTTTAAAATTACTTCATCCCTATTCTCACTCTCCTAGTGGGTTTATGACTACATATATCTTAGACTTTCTCACACTAGCCTTCATGATTCCTGACAGCTTTTCACATTTTATAACAATTTCTGCATTGCATTCTAGATGATTTTTTTCATATATTTCCGTTTACTAATTTTCTTTCAGCTATTCTCAATTTGCTTATACTAAAAATTATCTGAAGTTCTTATAAGTCTCCTGTTGTCAGTTGTTTCAGTAGGTTATTGTTCAAAATATCTTGTTTCCTTGTCTGTTATTTTTTTGTTTTGTTTTGTTTTTTGTCTGTTATTTTTGACTGTTCATTTTTCTTAGAGTTTCATTTGTGGATATAAAGCCTACAATGAGGGTAGGTTCCCTCAGAAAAGATATTCATTTGTTTCTCCCAGGAACCTAGGATCTAGTCTAAAGATCACTTTACATTCATTTTTCAGTTTATGGTTTTATAGAATGTACAGGACATAAATGTGTGCAAGGAATGGCTTGTGACTCCAAATCTTTTCCTCTCTCCATTTGATGTCTCGGTTCAAGTCAATTCCTTTACTTTGTAGTACCCTAATAACAGGGCCAGGGGCAGAAGCAGGTAGGAGGAGGAAATGGTACTTCTGACTTTTCCTTGTATTGAAGGTGCATCTCTTTGGGGTTCCAGAGTTTTGGGGAGAGACTTTCTTAGGAGACTTCTCTCTGTGAGCAGTCTCAGATCTTTGCCTTCAGTAATCTATGCCAGTGAGGTGGGAAAACCAACAGGCAAATTTACTTAGTTCAGCAAATGTTCTTGGGTAAAATTTCTCTGGGTCCTGCCTTTCACTTAGTTCTTCAGGTTGATAATTTCTATTTTCTCTCTAACTCATGAGTGCACTTAAGATTTTTTGAAATACTTAATCAAAATATCTTTATCTTTAAAGACAGATGTTAAAATATGAATGGGTGAGATGGTTCCTGGAATTTTCTTTAAAATAATACATAACAAAAAAAGTAGATGGGGTTATAGAGGAAACAAAATTCATCATGATTTGATAATTTTTGAGGTTGAGTAAAGGCTATGAAGGGGTTGATATATGTTTGAAATTTTCCATGTTAAAAATTGTTTTGTTTTGTTTTTAATGAAAAATAAAAAAGAACACAGGACAAGCAAGCCAAAAACAACCAAATTAAAAATCTGGGATTTTTAGTTGTTACCAGTGGAAGGGTTAATCTAGATTCCTAACGCCTCAAACTCCCAAAAGCAACCCTTTTGGTTGCACCCCAGAATTAAATAGAATTATGGTTTTTGTCTTCCTCACAATTGCCTTCTATAGTTACTAAGAGCTTCCCATTCCACTCTTCCTCTTTGGTCATGTTTGCAATAGTTTTACAAGTATTAATTAAAATGCAAACATTTTTTTTTCCTTTTTAGAAATCATTATAACATTAACCCCAATCTTTACCTGTTATTTTCTGAATTAGAAATTGTACCTGTGCTATTTATAAGACCTATAAATTAAATCACAACCAGTTATATTTTATATTCATCCTATCTTATTAAACTCCATAGTCTAAAAGAAGAACCCTTTTGTGAGCAGAATACTTGGTAGGGTTATCAAATATCAAAAAAATGATACAAGCCATTCCCTTTAAAAGATAGCTATAATTCTAAAGTTGCAAGCAAATTTGCAAAATTTTTACCACTTATAAACACAATACTGACTAATTTTTATCTGAAAAAAATTCAAAAATGAGAAGAAAAATACCACATTAGAATCATTCTTTACCCAGTCTGTAGTAAAAGGAGCTCCATTTGCCATCAAAATACGAACTTCATCATCTTGACCTGCTCGTGCCGCTTCTAAAAGCTTCTTTCCCAAATCTACCAGGGACATCTAAACAAAACATAGATGAATATAAAATCTCCAAAGTTACAAAAATGTCCCAGACTACTGAACCAATAAATGACCCCACTTTTGAGATCTACTCAGAAGAATAAATAAAAATATATTGAAACAGATCTATCAATAAAGATTATATAAGTAAATATATACATATATTTACCTACATATAATCATTTTTATAATGTGAACAATCTAAAGGTTGGAAAATGGTTAAATTGTGAAATCTAGTAGAATAATATGCAGTAATTTAAAATAATAGTTTTGGCCCTAACCGGTTTGGCTTAGTGGATAGAGCGTCGGCCTGCGGACTCAAGGGTCCCAGGTTCGATTCCGGTCAAGGGCATGTACCTTGGTTGCGGGCACATCCCAGTAGGGGGTGTGCAAGAGGCAGCTGATCGATGTTTCTCTCTCATTGATGTTTCTATCCCTCTCCCTTCTTCTCTGTAAAAAATCAATAAAATATATTAAAAATAAATAAAATAATAGTTTTGAAGTTATAAAATAACATTAAAAAGTTATGTCATATTAAGTGAAAAGATAAAATACAAAATGAATTTTTGAATGGCAAAATATGCACAAAGAGAACAAAATGCTGAAAATTATTTTTTTAAAGTTGTGTGATTATAGAAAATTTGCCTCCAGTTCACAAAGCTTCTTCAATGTTACTATATTATCTTCCTAATTTAAAAAGTGGATTTTTAAGGGACAAATTATATTGTGTGGCTGTTAAATAAGGAAATGCTGACATTAAGGAAAATTATATACTACTGACTTACTAAACAGGAAGAATGGGGGGGGAAATAACGAAAATGCAGGATATTGAGAACTTAAAATAGCAAACTTATTGATCTTACAAGAATTCAAAACAGTGATGCATTTGAACAAATCAACTTCTCCCATAATTCTTCAATTATCTTAATTATTCAAAACATCATAGTTAAGAACCTAAGATACTTAAGTTACTATGGTTCCATGAGCAATACAACTGTGTAGCAGATTAATATAGCTAAAAGCTTTTAAATCAGTGGTTCTCAATGGTAGCAACAATGACCCCTAGAGGACACTATATATGGAGGCATTCTGGGGATTGAAGGTCGGAGGAATGGGATGAAAGCTCTACTAGTATTTAATGGTCAAGTGCCAGGGATACTAGAGGAGCAGCAATACAGGGAACAATCCACTATGGACAATTGCCACAGGTCCTGGATGAATTTCAAACATTCTACTGAATACATATATCTAAGGCTAGAATTCAGTATATAAAAAAATGTATTTTCCACAGTTATTAATGTATCCCAAATTTTCCAAAATGCAACCATACTATAAATCGATTTGTTTGTTCAGGACTTTACTAAGAGTTGTTCACCATTTTGGAAAATCATGTCACCAATCTCAATGCCACTTGGGTATGTGAATCACCACTATAAATGACACTGTATCAATTATGCTTTCACAGCTGTCACATTCACAATGATTCTATGTGTAGGTGGCAACCATTTGACTACCTCTTGTGCCATCTAGTGTGGTGCACTTGAATATTTACATACTGAAATACACATTTTATTATAAGTTGCTTTCCTTCTATTTCTCCTGTATATTAAAATTAGAGTATTATAATGATTCTTTAATTATGCAGATAGGTAATATTAACTATGATTTCCATTTCCAGTTAGCAAAGGGGCAATATAAAATATTTATTATAAAAAGGCAGCCACATTTTTTTAAAAAAAGGCAGCCATAGATCTAGTAAGATTAAAAAATCAATTTCTAAAAAATATACAAGCCCTGGCTCATTTGGTTGGGTGTCATCCTTGCACCAGGAGGTTGCCGGTTCCATCCCCAGTCAGGGCACATGCAAGAATCAACCAATGAATATATAAATAAGTGGAATAGCCAATCAATGTTTCTCTCTAAAACAAAAACAAAAGTCTAAAAATGAAATCTACATTTGCTCAAAGTACATGCTAAGAAGGCCATCTAGTGGTAAAAGGAATTACACAAAATTAAATTTTTAAAGCGTAAAGTCTATTTTGCTTTGAATTTCTGTAATTCATAGCTCATAGAGCTTTTGTGAGTTTATAGCATCTACTGGACATGAAAACACTGTAAAACTGTAAAATACTAACTAGATCCATGTAAATTGCTACTAGCACTCTTAAAAATGAATATGAGTAAAAACACTTAGAAAATGTAATCCTCTAATATACTTAACCTCAATTGTCTCATTAAAATTTTTAGAATAAAACATCACTTCAATAAAATTCTTCTAAAGTTCTTCATCAGGCAATTTAGCAATATTTATGAACCAAAATCCTTTAAGATGTTCATGTTCTTTGACCTAGTACTAGTAATGTCACTCATATAATCTATCATAAGGAAACTATTTGAAGCATAAATATAACATAATGTTATAAAATGGGCAAAATGAAAATGCCCTAGTGTAAACAATAAACAAAATTTTTTAAAATATATTTTATTGATTTTTTAACAGAGAGGAAGGGAGAGGGAGAGTTAGAAACATCAATCAGCTGCCTCCGGCACACTCCCCACTGGGATGTGCCCACAACCAAGGTACATAGCCTTGACCGGGATCGAACCTGGGACCCTTGAGTCCGCAGGCCAACGCTCTATCCACTGAGCCAAACCGGTTAGGACCAATAAACAAATTAACATAGATGATAATGGAATACTGTGGGTTTTATTTTTTACTTTTTATTATGAAAATTTCTGAACAAATTCCCAATAGAAACAATAGTATAATGAATTGCCACTTAGCCACCACCTAGCTTCAAAATCATCAATTCATGGCCAACTCATTTCCCATGTACACATATTATTTTGAAGCAAATATTAGACATATTTTATCTGTAAATACTTCAATATATATCTCTAGAAAATAAAGATATCAAACTGAGTTCAAATATTTCAAATTAGTATGTTCTAGAACTGAGTTGTCCAATACAGTAGCCACTAGCCAAAAGAAGCTACTGACTGTTGAAATGTGGCTAGTCCAAATTGAGGTGTGTATAAGTATAATGCACCCAATTTTGAAGATATGGTACCAAAAAGAATGTAAAATAGCTTATTAATAGCTTTTATATTGATTATATGTCGAAATGGTAGTAATTTTGATATATGGAGTTAAATAAACTATATTATCAATATTAATTTCATCTGTTTCCTTCAGGCTTTTATAATATGCCTACTAAAAAAGTTTAAATTAAATATGTGGCTTGTATTATATTACTATTGGACAGAACTTCTTGAAGGCAGCAACTTTAGAATTTGCAAAAAGTTGCAACTTTTTTTGTTGTTGTTGTTGTTAATCCTCACCTGAGGATATTTTTTCCCGTTGATTTTCAGAGAGAGTGAAAGGGAAGGGAAGAGACAGAGGGAGAGAGAAATGTCAATGTGATAGAAACACATCGACCAGTTGCCTCCTTCATGCATCCCAGGATGGAAATCGAGAGTGCAACCGAGATACATGCCCTTGACTGGAATCAAACCCATAACCCTTCAGTCCACAGGCCGATGCTCCAACCACTGAGCCAAATCGGCTAGCTAGAACAAAGGGTTGCAACATTTTAAAATAAGATATAGGGCATTCTTTTATTTATTTATTTATTTATTAGGGCATTCTTTTAGAAAAAGTGCATCTGATGAATTACCCATTATGACACTGGATAGACATTCCTTCTAAAAACTATAGGAGGGTATGTATGGCCTTTGTCCTAAGACTTCACAAATTCATTTGGAATAAAGATACCCATAAATTTTACTAATCTTAAAAAAAAAAGTGGGCCATCTTACTTCATCCTACTCCTTTCTAAAAGATATACTTTACGCCCTAACCTGTTTGGCTCAGAGGATAGAGCGTCGGCCTGCGGACTCAAGGGCCCCAGGTTCGATTCCGGTCAAGGGCATATACGTTGGTTGTGGTCACATCCCCAGTAGGGGGTGTGCAGGAGGCAGCTGATGGATGTCTCTATTTACCAATCAATAAAATATATTTAAAAAATATATATATATACTTCACAGCTGACACATGGCATTTGGTTGTTATAGTCCTAAATTGATTTTATTCTAGGACAATTTTCCTTCCCCCTCACCCCCCCATCAACCTCACCTTGTTTTTCTTTCCCATGACATTAAATGACCAGTTCACTGGTATGTCATCTAGATTTTTCTGATTGCTTCAGGGTCATACTTAATTTCTTTCATCTCTCCTATTCTTATAAACTGAAAGTTAGCCTAAACTTGACTAAATTTAGATTTTAAATTTTGGACAAAAATATTTCATAGTTGATGCTATATATTTGATACTGAATCATATCAGGAAGCAAATTTTTTGGTTCCTTTTTAGTGGTATTAATATTAATAATTAGGTTGGTATAGCCTGATTCTTCCACTATAAAGGTATATTGTTTTCCTTTGAGACCAACAAGTACTCTGGAGTTGTTACTGTGGCACCATGTGAATATCCAATTCCCAATAAATCTTTTGCCTAACAATTTTAGCATCCATTAATGATCCTGGCCCAAATCAACTAATTTTTAACAGGTTGTAATAAATTGTGACTTTCTAATTCTATGATTCCTTCTATATTTATTATCTGGCATTCCTCATTGACTGCAGTAAGTTTCTACTAAAGCAGCACTTCAAGTGCGTTTTTTAAAAAAATTTATTTCTTTATTGACTTTAAAGAGAAAATGAGAGGGAGAGGGAGAGTGGGAGAGAGGGGAG